GAGCGCGCGCTAAAAGTGATCACAGCGTACCTGGCGAGCTCGGAGTCTTCGCAAGCAGACGAATTCTCCATGACGCATTGGTTTTGCCTATCTCCGCGCAAGGCGACCAATGAAAAAAAAAGTGAAAGCCGTTTACAACTTCCTGTAACGCCGAATTGGAGCGCAGCTCTTGAGGAGGAGGAGTGGAGGGTATATTCCTCCTCCTCCCTCGTGATCATGCCTGCTAGTCCTCCTCGCCTCCCGCTCCCACTCCCTCTCCTCTACCACCTCCTCGTCCTTCAAGCTCCTCCCCCCCCTCGCCTCCGGCTCCTCGTCTCTCCTCCCCCCTCCTCCACCTTCGCACTGCTTTCCTCCTTGCCGCTCAAGCCGGACAATGAGGGGAGGAGGAGGAGAAGGAGGGGGAGGAGGGGGAGGAGGAAGAGGGGGAGGAGGAGGAGGGGAGGGGAGAAGGGGGAGGAGGAGGAGGGGAGGAGGAGGGGGAGAAGGAGAGGGAGGAGAGGGAGGGGCGCGGTTACGCCGACGCCGACGCCGACGGCGACGGCGACGCCGACGCCAACGGCGACGCCGACGCCAACGGCGACGCCGCTCAGGCTGGAAACGGGCCCCTAAGAGCTGCGCTCTAAAAAAAATATTGCCACTGGTATTCGCTCCTTTCAATGTTAAAAACTTAAAGACGTTTACTACCTCCTGTAACGCCGATTTAGAGCGCAGCTCTTGAGGAGGAGAAAGGGAGGGTACTGAGGGAGGGTATGCCCCTCATCCGTACCCTCTCCTCCTCCCCTCCTCCTTCTTTCACGCGCGAAACGCGCGTCATCACGCAACATTTCCGTGCGGTGCCGTAACGTCACCGTGACATTTCGTCACGGTGACGTTTCGTCACGATGACGAAACGTTGCGAGACTTTTCGGCGCGTTGCATAATGGGACGTTTCTTATAATGCACCGCGCGGTTACGCCGACGCCTAAGAGCTGCGCTCTAAACATAGGTGCCATCTCATGAGTGAAGGACATTTTCTTCTCGTGGGAAAGATGTTACAGCTTCCAGGTGCAATTTTAGGGCTGTTTAAAAAAAAAAAAACACTGTGTCGGAACTTATATAAGCCAAGCAAAACACGAAGGTACCTTCACCCTGTTTTTTGAAAAAATGGCAATGCACAAACATTTTAGAACATCGCTACGTTTCAACTTTAATGTTGTTTTCGATCAATTCGTTTTGTTGTTGCAGTTCTCATTTCTCACGAATGTTTTGGTTAAAACCGCTTGGCCGAATAGGCGAGCTGGCTAATCCCGTTAAGATCGACTCCAGATGAAGAAGCAAAATTCAATTTCGAACCACGTACGTTACTGCGATGTCAGTATGCTCTGGAACAAGTCGATTGTGCATATGCAAATCTGGCGCTATTACCGAAACTAATTAAAGAAGAGTTACAAAAAAAAAAAAGCAAACTACTCGCGCGTGCAAAAGAGAAAAAGAGGAGAGCGTCGTAGCGCAAATAAAGGTGTTTTCGGTCACGTTATATATGGTGCACAAATTGCGATTGTTAGCGGCGGGACGACGCACGTCTTCTGCAACCTCTACGATAAAGGCCGGCAACCGTTGGACGGTCCTGCAACCATTTCCATTCTTCAGTCTACTTTCTTTTCATCTTTGAGGCGACGCTACGCCGCCGCGTTCTTTCTTCTCCCTGCTTTTATGTTGTTGGATTTGCTTTTTTTTTTTTTTATTTTGTTTGACGTCGAATTATCGCGTAGATTGCTGTGACTTGTTTGGTCTAGTTTTTACTTTTTTTCCTTCGCTACTCCCTCCGGTTCGTCTGATACTCTATGGTCGGACATCTGGAGGGCCGCCAGCAATTTTTTTGTTATTGTCGTTGTTTGTTAGTTTTTTTCCACTGCCGTCTGCGATAACCTCCTTTTTTTCGCCTTCGTTTGAGTTTCTAATTTGTGATCTTCATATGTGCTTTTTGAAACTTGATAAATATACTAAAAAGTATAAGCTCGTTCTGCATTTCTGTTCGACTTATATTTGAGTACGCGGTCACGTCTGCTATGGGTCATCGTTTGTTGATCGACCGGCCGCCTTCGGGCATACACCAGCGCATACTTGGAGATGGCAGGCATGCCATGTGCTGCCTACCACTACAGAAACAAGTATTTGCGATGTGGTGGAAAATCCGCCTTCCGCTTCCCGAAAACCGAACTGACGTGAGTGATTAAGTTACTTCAAATTTAACTGGAAGAGCTGTCCAAGCCTGGCTTCAAAATCGACCCTGACGCCTCAACAGACGATTATGACAACTCCGCGGAGATGGGGGAGAAGTTGAAGGACGACAGACCAGATGCACAACCGAACACCCAATCCACTGTAGCCGGGTGGGCAGCCAGTCAAATCTTTCATCATGCTTACTAAGTCAAACTGCAATCCGAAACTTAGAACACCCCAAGAGACATTCTGTTGAGGAACAAAAAATAATCACATGCGAAAAGGACACCACCTTACGACTTCGCTCGACGCCTAGCCGGTAACATCAGCCGTGCCTTTGAAACATATTTCACTGATATATTGGACCAAACAAAAGTTCAGCTGAAGGCGCACTTGAGTGCGCTGAACGACACTCTAAATAAAGGCACGGTGTGCAAGAATTGCCTGGACACGTACGTCAACAAGTACTGGAATGTACTTTTGAACTGCTTCGTCAAGTGAGCAAACAAACAGCCGGCCAAGGTCACTGGGAAAAGAAATGCGAAAGCAAAAAAGGTCACACACTGCTAGCACGTGCGACTCTTATTTACCAGGCAGTGTGAGCTGGAACACAACGCCGCGAAAGCAAATAAACAAACGTGTAACGTCCAGCTAAAAAAAAAAAAAAAAATGAAGCTCCTTTTTTTCTATCAATTCGTTTTTTTTTTTTTTTTTTTTTTTTTTTTTTTTGTAGTTTAACATTGACGGCGGTTACACCGGCGCATTTTCACTGCTCCTACCGACACCCCGAGCGATCGTCGTCGTTGAAGGAGGTCTTCGCTGGGTGATTTGTATCTTTGTATCGTCTGCTAACTTCATGGTTTCATTCGCTGTTGTCCGCGATTGTTCCCCACTTCTTTTTATTTTTGTCGTAGTTTTATTCACCGTTGTCCGCGACTGTTCCCCACTTCTTTTTATTTTCGCCTGGGATGGAGACAATATCTTTTCTGCAAGGTTTGGAAAGTATTTGCACCGTCATTTTTCTCGTTACCTCTTTGTTTTTGTTATGTTGCAGAGGCTGGTGCGCTTGCTCTGGTATACATACCATGTTGTTTGCTCACGTTTTAATAATCACCTATTCAGGTAAGAAATTGGGACAACGCAGTTTGTAACGGATCAGCAGTAAGCTCTTACGACGTAGTTCGAGTAGCTAAACTTCTTTTTTTCGCTTCCCAGATGCGCTTCAATCACGGGTGATCCCCCGAGTGGCGTGAGACCGCTAAGTAAACTGCCCTCTTTTTTCTGCGCGCGTTGTTATTTGATTGTCGTTGCAGTTGCGATCAGTGTATTCCGCTTTGCAAGCGGACTGACCGCAATGAGTTGGTTCAGCTGTTGGGGTGACGAAACGTTGCTTTCAAAGCTCCAGGACGTTGCGTAGCCTATACTTTTCCATTGCGTCGTCTGCTTCCGTAGACCCCGAGTCCGCTAGAGGCGCCACTGCCACGTTCGCCACCGCTCCCATAGGTTTTCGGAGGAGTTTCCAATATTGGTGAAGCTATATCGTATTTGGTTACATTTTCGGGGAAACCGAACGTGATATTCAGATTCAAGAGAAAAAAATACATTAGAATCAACCTCTATTTCATTTTTTAAAGAAATGTGTTAGCTTCTCTTTTAAGTCAGACGTATTGTTTACAAATGACCAGCCCGACTGACAACACTGGGCAACCGAGACGACCAGAATGCTAAATGTATAGGCCTGTGCCGACGTTATTATATTAGCTCAGTTACGGAACTGCTCATAGACGCTGCATGCACGAGCAGTACCCCCCCCCCCCCCCTCACTCACCACGACTCGCCTCCCGTCGTTCGACGCGCCGGACGGCTGTTTCGAAGCGCAGAGTATAGATGGCGTTCCACCATACTCTATTGAAAACACAGTTCGTAAACGAAAATCTAGATGACGCTTCGAACAACGGGAGGCGGACTGAAGTGGGTGAGGGGGGGGTACCTCGCTTTCCCGGGAGTTCCACAACTGAGGTGATCTAGTAACGTTGGTCTGTGCCAGAGTAAAGACTGCTTTGTTACACACTAAACAGGCATTGGGGGCTAAAATGTCAACAAAGCACTGGTCAGAGCGACACGCTCAGGCCGAGAGATGCCTGAACGTTTGTACTTAAAAAAGAAATGTAAAAAATATCGGTGCTCTGACAACTTGCTTCTACACAGTGCAGGAACCTATTAGCGCCAAGATGTTTCGGTGGCGTTCCCTTATAGTTTCCGTTGGTGGTGTCAGGACAAGAATGTCAAGACAAGACAAAAATCTGACTTCTCATCATCACCTGTTATCTAAAAGTTCCGTGGTACGTTTAAAAATAACGATGGAAGCTTGGAATCATCACATTCTTAAACCAACATCGTCGCAGTTGACACCGACATTGCGCTGAATTCCGTCGATAAAAGAAAAAAATAATAAAAATGAAGACCTCACATTGAGCGTTTGACCAATCGCGAATTGCGACCACATCACCGCTTTTCGTTGCGCACGTCAATAATAGGCGTGTCCAGGAACCTATAGCTATCCGCCTCCGTGCGTGCTTTGCCCGCATATGTGTGATGCAACCTCACAATATCGTAGCAGCGAAATTTTAGAATTCTTCCTTTGAAACAACATGCTTTACTTTTTACTCTTTTCTCTGCACTGTTCCTTTCAACAAGGATTGTTCGTAAAACAATCCTTTTCGTCATTATTATGCAGATGCTGTTTCACGTGGGCAAGATCCTGGATACTGTTTTTGAGCCTCGCTTTTTTACTGCAGGCATCCACACAAAAAGTTATCGGCAAAACAACTGGCTCTACATCAGCAATGAAGACGAGCTGCTGGCATGGAGACAACACCTGAAGGGCCACTGTAGGTACCCAAACTGCGGTAACCTTGCCCCAAATTTGTAAATATTTGAAAAATTACTCATGTTTTGGACGCGTCTTGCAGCCACCTTTCAGAACCAAATTTAAGGCATTGCAAAACGCTTATCACTTTTCCCATAAGAAAATCTACTGATACGCACGTGGCGAGTGACTGCGTTATAGGAATTTCAAATTTAAGTTTTTTCTTGTATTGTGCTCACGCATAGAAGCCGTTTTACTTCTATTCAGCCTGAGTTCAGACACAGCCGATTCTACGAGTTGATGGGACCAGTTTGACAAAGCGCACCATCATGGTGTTCGTCATGTCTCTGTACGCGTTCTATCATTGCTGAACCAATCGTAAATAAAAAAAAAGCCCAGTGACTTGCACTTTTCACGCTGCTTGACTGGCCCCATTACCTGGGAGCGTCAGCTGCGTCTGGACCTGAACTGCAGCCAAGTATAGAAACGTCCCATGTGTTTGTTGTTCCAGTTTCCGCCCCTGAGTGTCATGTGCAGGTTTCTCCTTTCACGCATTAAAATAACATAGAAAAGCTATTCGAAATGTTCAACTGCTTGGCGGGGGCGTCCCTTTGTTTGAAAGGTTGGTGGCGACTGTCTTCTACCGCTATCACAATTCATGAGGACGGCTAAGAAACAATCTGGCAGAAGAAATATATTAACCACTGTGCACTAATTTAACTATTCCTTGCATTGGCGCACTACACTGCTGTCCTTTTCAAATTATTTTTTTTTATTTTCATATTCAGAAAATACTGGGGGTCATTCAAACTTCTTGAAGTAAAAGGAAGGAAGATTTATAAATTGAATAAACAACGTGCATGCAAAATATGAATAACACTCCAGAGTACCTCCGTTAGAAATATCCTTCGAAATTTAGGAAGATAAATGCAACAACTTTCAGAATAAGAAATAGGACACTGCGTTGTACCTAACACACACTGAAAAAAATTGTACCGCAAAAAAAATAAGCAAGCAGGGACAAAAGCAGGATGTTGTAAAAACCTACAATTATGAATATATAGCATATCTGTTAGAAGACATCAAATGTCATGTTACGAGAGAAATAAAATTTCCGATCAGGCTTATTATTCAGAAATTCCAAATCCTGCGTATATTTGAGAAAAAAAGTTCAAAAGGTAAAGAAATTTAAATGTTAAATGGAAGAAGAGAACATAAGTAGTTAATGTCGAGAGTTGGGCTAGTTGGTATTCGTTGATCATAATGTAAAAACAGCGCAAACAAACACCGACGAAGGAGAAGAAACACGCAGACGGTACAAGCGCTGCGTGTTTCTTCTCCTTCGTCCGTGTTTGGTTGCGCTGTTTTTACATTATGATCAACATAAGTAGTAAAAAATTCACTGTGAGCGCAGAGAAAAAAAAAAGCTTATATTTCTATTTCTGTGCCCCGATTGCCAGACTCAACCATGGTTGCTAGACTGCCGGCATCTCCAATCATTGCCGAACTCGCACAGTAGAAACGGCTCTGGTTAAACTAGGGCAAGATGAATTAATTTCCACTGTTCCCGGTCGTCGAATTTCGGAAGTCTGTTCCATAGGATGGCATGCCGAAACCACCCAATCCGGCATTTCACTGCACTGGCTCGTCCTGGGTTGTGTTATAGTTAGATAAATCTTAGGTCCAGATGCAGCTCACGCTACGAGCTAGTGGAACAAATCAAGCAGCATTAAATGCGCGAGTCACTGGGCCTTTTCTGTTGATGATTGGTTTAACGACAATAGAACACGGACAGAAACATTACAAACACGAAGATGATACGCTTTTCAGAACGCCTGATTGAACCCATCAGCTATACTTCGTTTCAGCTTCGGTCCGAGCGCGCCCGATCTTGATGAGCCGAATGGCCAATCAAATAACGAAAGAGGCCCAACGTCATGGCGTGCTCTCTGCAGTTGATAGGACCAGCCGGTATTCGCAGTTTCTCTATGTGTGCTCTTCCGCCGGCTTGTCCTATCAAGCGCAGAGAGCACGCCATGACGCTGCGTTTTTTTGCGCTGTTTGATTGGCCCTTCGGCTCATAACATCGGCCGCGCTTGGACCGAAGCTGAAACAAAGTATAGTAGCGTCGGCTACGTCTGGGCTTGGTGAAACAAAGTATGGCTAAAGTTACGCGTCTACAACCGAGATTCCAATCGCTACTTGCTGAATAGTCTAACTGCCAGCTGTGTGTGTATTCGCACATTAAAGTTGACTCTCTGAAGAGCACATAGATTGTTCCAAAAACGGAGATCTGTGTATTGAATCACCCATCACCCATAACCAACCAATGGTCATATTTTATTTCAAGCCTCCAGAAGAAGGACGAGAAAAGGTGAGCACCCAATTCACCAATCAGTGATTACGAGCGAAAATAGAGGGCTTACAGAGCAAAATAATTTTAGAACGGGCAGCTGTTTAGAATCATTCTTATTTCACCTGTCATGCCAACGCCAAGTGGCTAGTAAACTTCCAAAATCCAACTAGTAAAGTGCATATTTAGACAGAACAAAGGGGCACGATAATACTTATAAAGAAGTCCTATCACATTTTTTTATTTGTTTTAGTCAATTAAAACGCCGTAATTACAGCGTTTGGATAATTAAAATTTTATTTATGAATTTCTTACCATTTCATGTCTGTTTCTATCGCACGTACGCCTACAAGACCCTCTAAACAATGTCTTGACCTTTAAGAAAAAAATTAATTTCCCTGTCGCTGTATTCGCGCCTTGAACCACATACGCTTCCATTCAGTTTTATTCATAAAAAGACATGTTTTCATAAAATAAGCACTGGTACCATCGAAACCAGATGCATCCTAAGCAGAAGCACACACGCGCCACTGTTGTCTTACTATTATCTGATAACCATATGTTCGCAACCAAATACACACTCTAAAAAGAAAAAAAAACTGTGAGCTCACTTTTTTGCTGAGCAGGGAGACGTTCAGGTCGCGGAGAACAGTGGAGAGATCCCAGCGTATAGGCCAGCACGCCGGCCCTGGCGTCATGCAGCTGTGGTGGCGCTGTCGACGGCACTGCGCATGCGCAAACGCTTCACGTCACTCAAATTCGGTTTCTGCGCACGCGCAGTGCGCACACCTGGTGTGGGCAAACGTGGGCTTGTTTGTAAAAGCGTGCTGGCCTATAGACGCTTTACACAGGCACCAGATTACATCCGCAACTTGCTGACCTTCTCTTGTCTTACCGAGGTGCCGAGCCACTGAAGTGGGCGTTGAGGAGCCTCCGCAAGGGCCTATGCTGGGGAGGACACAGTAGAATCTAAAATGGCCATACCATCTCCGGCTGTTGTAATGATGGAGTAAAGTTAACGAAATCAGAGGAAACAAAACCTGAAAATCGGTTATGACGGCGCCCATGAAAGCAGCTACAAAGCGTCTATAGCCAACCGGTAACGGCCAGGCGGCGCCAGCAGGGTGAGAGCGCACGGTTATACCCTGTCTCGTTGTAACTTGGTAAAGGGTAAACGATAATCCCCACATTGCGTGCCGGCGGCTTCGAAATGCGCGACGTACGCGAGCGCAACGCACACATATTGGAGCATGACGCAGCGAAAAGCCTGATACTTCTCTGGAGTTGAGGCGCGCTCCGGTGATAGGCAGTCACGTTCCGATTGGCCCGCCAGGGCCGTAGCTTCCGCTCTACTGGCACGTTACACAATCACGGCGTCTTAGGATACCCAGTATTTCTTGCTTCAGACACTAGGCTCAGCGGCGCCCCCAGAGCACGTTTGAACAATGCAGCCGCCACTCCCAGGGTACCCAATATTTCTTGTTTCACTCGCTAGATGGGGCTAAACCAAACAGCATAGCAGGTTGCCTATAGCAAAGCTCAGAATACAATTAGACCTGAAAATTTTGATGTCAGCAGGGACAATGAGCATGACGCTTCGCTATTTCACTGTCCCGGTGCGCATGGAATTTTTCATATCGTATTCAGAGCGTCCTCACTTGCTGGGGTCTTTCTGTTGTCCACCCTGACAGGCTGTTCCGCGTCTTGCAAAAAAAAAATTATGCACACTAAATTTTTCTCTTTTTTTTTTACCTAAACCGGCGTTTTTTTGTTGTTGTTTTTTTTTGTTTTTTCTCTTCGTTTTTTGTTTTTTTTTTAGCTAGGAGGTAAGTGCAAAGTTGGGAGATCGATGTCACTAAAGCATGGTCACAGAAGTGATGTCATACAAATAACACCGCAGCGCCGACCGATTTGCGTCGCCGCGCAGTGCTTGCTGCCGAGAACCGCGCAGTGCGCACGCGCGTACCTTTAATGTGATGCCGTTCTTTAGCTACCCTCCGAATTTCTTGGTCTTTCTGGCCTCCTAACGTGGAGTAGGTATGCGCAGTAGACCATTTCATCTCATATTCTCACACTCCACATTCGCACCCTCTTTAAAGGACCTGGCGACCTTGACGTCGTCCTAGAGGTCGTCCTTGACGTCGTCTCCTTGGGCATCGTCCTCGACGTCGCCCTTGAGGTTGTCCTAGAGGTCGTCCTTGAGGTCGTCTTCCTATGGGTCGTCTTAGACGTCGCCCTACACGTCGTCCTTGAGGTTGTCCTAGGTATCGCCTTAGAGGTACTCCTAGAAGTCGTCCTAGACGTCGTATTTGACGTCGTCCTCTAGGAAGGCATCCTCGACGTCGTCTTAGACGTCATCCTTAAGGTTGTCCTAGACGAATGCTATCGAAATTCATAGACAACTATAGATATATAGTGGTTTCTTCAGCAATTTCTTATGTGCTGGCTTGCTCGTTTGCTTGCTTCAACGCGAGGCGCTTCTGTCCGATTGAAACGGCGATAGACACCGTGATTCCACAGTCTTCTCTCATCGCTTTGGAAAGCGGCCGAGCGGCCCAGCTCGCGTCCTCTGCAGCACGCGAGTCTCAAACGCGACTCGGCCCGAAGCGTTAACACCCCCCCCCCCCTCCCTTTTCAATTCTTGTGCCACCCACACGTAGTTCTATGGAAATTTATGCACCATATCCCACCTATGCACCGACTAATTTTTTAAGAGTGCAGGTAATACAAGAAAATAATGGCAGAATAAGACATCTTGAAAATAGATCGTCTTGGAAGCACCGTAATATTTTTTTCTCCGTATCCGCCGGCGCTTGAAACTGAAAAGTATGGGGAACATGCTCTTACCTCTAAACTTTCACAAGGTAGTGACGTCTGAATAGAACCTGAATATTTGCAGGACTTATACTATGAATTCATTTCGTTCAACAAAAACCCAAATCGACCTTCTCTTTCTTCTTACCAGTGAAAGGACTGGTCCTGTGTGCCGTCACGAATTGAGGTTCAGAAGCGCTTCGGTGCCCACTCTTTGATCTGAACTTGAACAAGAATCTAGATGGTTTTTTGTTTTTTTTTTGCTCTCTGTTACGTCCACTCTTCCTCACTGTCACCTGAGCGCAGTTGGAGCGACGCGGTACTCGTATCCAACTTGTGGGCTGGATTTGCCAGACGTGGCTGTGCAGCGCGGAAACTTCGGATTAAAAAGGCAAAGCTTTGCGAAGGAGAAAATAAAGAATAGTAATCTCGATTTTTTTTTTTTTTTCAGTTTCACAGGAACAATTTGTTTTCGGCTTCCTACCGTCACGTGCTAGATTTTTTCCTTTTAATTGATATCTTTGTGACGCGGCAAGTCAAAGACCTTCAGAAGCCCAATTCTGCGAGGGCACCTATGGCATTCGCTGGTTCACCGATTCTTCATGGGCCTTCCTTTTAAATGTCATTGTACTCCCGTGAAATAAGAGCATTAGAGATATACAGTTATAGCAACACCAAAGATCATTACTGCTCATGGCGCCTCTAAGAACAAAAACAAGACGATCCCAGACGGAAGCCACGTGGTAGCACAGCCATTCAAGTACTCTAGGATGCGCAACATTCGTGTACCTGACGATGTCCGCGCTTGCCCCTTTCCGGTTGGGGAACCCCCCTGGCGGCAGAGTCCACAAGCAGCATCCGGTCGGACTCGTCCCCTTCGTCGTCATCCTCTTCGTCGCCGAGTCCGAGCCGCGCGGACTCGCCGGACTCGACCGAGTCCGAGCGAGAGTTCCGCCGCCACTACGTCACCATCACCCACCGCATGATTCACAGGAAGGCCAGCGTCGAGATGTACCGGCGGGTCGCCCACCGTTGCTTCGGTAAGTTGGGACCGCCTAAACAAGGAGTCTGCTAGTTTCAAATTAACGGACATTTTCCGAACGCAAATAAAGCGTGCTGAAGCAGGCCAAGACGCCTCGGATGACAAGGCCGTGCTACTGAACATTCTACGTAGCCTGCCCGAGGCCAGAGCGGTGACACAGGAATGAAGACGTGTTGCGTCACCCTTCGGCTAGGACTCGCGTTTAATCAGTAAGAACGCGATCGAGTCGCAGCTGACTTCTGATGCAGCACTCGTGTCAAATCTGCGCCACGCGCTGTAGCCCTCAGTGAGTGACGTAGGAAGTCTATCTGTACGGCCTTGTTATGTGAGAGCTGTTGAGCAAGCGCTCCAAGCATATGCGGAGAAGAGCGCAGGGAGAGCAACGAGGTTATTTTACGTGTTTCTACGCCGTGGAAACCCGAGACGGAGGGCAAAACAAGATACCGGCACGACCTCAGCCTCGAGTTTCCAAAATGTTGAAATTTGTAAAGCTTGCCTCACGTTAATGTTTAGTTGTTGTTGTTGTTGTTGTTGTTGTTGTTTTTATTTTTTATTTGCACATGTTTACCTGCACTTGATTCGGTTTGCAAATCGGAGTAAAAATCCGAATTTACATTCGCAAATCCCGACCATTGCATGTGCCAAAAAACTGAAACCTCTTTAATACCGCATTCAATATAGTTGGGAACAGCCCGTTGTCGTCCTTTGGTGTACGTTTCAACCCTTGAACAATCTCCGGTTCATACTGGCAAAAATTAGGACTCCGTCTCTAAATTTTCGCAGAAATAGAGCGATACTGGAAGTCGTAGAGAACGCCGGCGTAGCAAAAAAGGCGAGCCAGAGTATTACAGCTCATATTATCCCGGGGTAGAGTCGTCGAAGATATGCAAACGAATTAAGCGTCGGTGCAAACAAGCTCGATAGCGCGTGACCGGCCTTTGGTATACTTCCATGGCAACAGGCGCATTTATTGTATCATACGCGTTTTTCTTTCCTGTCCTAACCACAGTGCTAATGCATCGATATATGTCAACTCCCTCGGTTGCCAAACTGTGGCTCTACTGTGTATTATCATAGTATTTTCATGCATGGGGTTTCTTACGAGGCTGCGGCTACAGTGGTGGGCACAGAATATGGCACACGTGTCTTAACAAGTTGGCGCTGACTTGATACATGCTTTCAGAGGCTGTACTCATTGATTGAGCCACAAATTAAGGCCAGTATTGCATGCTTGTAAAGTAGATAATATTACGCAGTGTTTCGAGCATGTAGCACAAGCTCTCAGGTTTTGTCTACATTGAAATGCGGTTCACCGTTCCGTACGCGTAACTTTAAATTATGTGGAATCAAGTGGCATCACGTTTCCTAATTTATATTTTGGTCATACCAGTGAACAGGCTGCAAAAAAAATCTAAAGAAAAAATTTTCGAGCAAGATTGACTACATGTAATTCCCACCAAAAAACTTTTTCGTATTTTTTTTTTAACTATTATACAGCATATTTTTGACCTACATCAAAGTGTTTCTCTCGTGAGCTTCTTCCGAATGTCGTCTACAATTGAGACAGTATACGGAGCTGCCTTCTTGGCTACTAGGACGTTAATATTTGCCTGGAGAATTTCGACAGTCCGCCAGAAAAAGACAGCCTACTCGAAGACCTTTGCAATACGCTTCTCTAATTGTATCATCCACGCGGAGGCTCATCTAACAGAGACGAAGAAAATAAAGGAAAATAAAAGAGGTGGGAGGGTGTCAAAGGAGGAATGGTTCGTATACGATCGATTCTGCGAGAGGGGCAAATCTAATTTGGCCACCCATATTCGCCGGCGTTGATGACGACGTCGCCTGTGTCAGCAGAAATTATCAGGTTTCCGGGGATGCGACCGATGTCTCTCAATCCCGAGTGAGAGCGGGCTGCCTGTCTGGGTGCCTGACGCGGCCCGCAGAAGAAGCGAGCGCTAGGAGGTACTACGTCTTCAAATTAGCGTCGCTGGGAATTATGTCAAATGTCGCGCGCTGGTGAGAAAGAGAGAGAGAGAAAGATAGTAAACAGACTGCTGGAACACATCGGGGCAAGTTTGGAACACGAAATTGTCGTCCGTTTTCGCTAACGGTTCGGGAGTGCAGGGGCCTCATGTGGCCTTATCCCATTTGTGCGAGAAACAACCGAAACTGCTCGCGGACATGGGAAGTGGGCGCCCACTTAACCTTATTGTAACCAACTGGCCAAAAACAAAAGATCCACCGGTAGATAGATAAAATTAAACAGAATAAAAACTCGTTCCAGAAATTTGGTGTTTGAGAACAATCCAATCGCTGTCGTGTCCTTTCTGAGCACTGACTTGAATCTACAAAAGTCGTATGACTTATTAGAACGTGATAAACCAACGCCACCAACAATCATCGAAGTTTCCTTTATTTTCATGAAACGTTATTGGATGACGCCGATTCAGCAATTGGGCTCCAGCCTATCACCGAGCGTCTTTCGACAAACTGATTGAACGCGAGGCCCATCCGAATGCTGTCACAGTGCTCGTGTCCAATTTGTCCGCACTCAATATCAGTATGATTACGTCTGAATTCTCGTGCACTGTATGGGATTTGATTAGTCTAAGTGGAATTGGTTACACCCGGCCCACGATTCCGGACTGACAAGAATGCGTTTCTTTTCTAGAGGCCACTAAAACGGTGAGGATCGAGAAGAGCAACGGCGAGTTCGGATTTCGAATCCACGGAAGTCGGCCGGTGGTGGTGTCTGCCATCGAAAAAGGTGAGCGACACCAGCAGCCGCCCTAGCCACGGGCCGGGCAAACTACCATTTATACAGCCTCTCACTAGAGTTTGTTGCAAGTTAATGGAAACAGGGCTATTCTTTGCCTCCAACCGACTATAGGTGGCCGGGTGCAGTGTTGTCGAATGAGGTATAGATACTTCCAAGAAAAGTTCTCCGGGCGCTGCCATTTTCAGACACTCACGACCTCTATCGGCCAGAAAGTTCTTCCGTCCTGGTCAGCGCGGCTCTCCTCCTGCGTGGTGAATTCGGAGTTCGCCGGCCTTTCTTTGCAGTTCTTACTTCCTTTGCCTATCCAGGCTGCTTTTTCGTCTCCCGCCTGTGGTTTCCACAGCGCTGCACGGAACCACTAAGATAGATCATAGGTTGCGTCCAGCACGGGTACGACCAGGCTAGTTTTTGTAAAACAAAATCTGAGGAATGGAGCTCGCGGGCTCTCACACCAAAAGTTGACCGTAAAACTTTCCAAATGTATTGACAATAAAGCGTAGACTCGTCTATGTGTTTGTGTTATCCCCTGAGTTACCACCATTTGCCCTTGCTTTTGTTCCGATTATTTGTTTTTATTTTATTTTGCGAGATGACAGGTTAGAGTCTGGGCTTATCGACTTGCGCAGTAGAGCTCTTCGATGCTCATGATATTGCCGCGCGCAGTGCCGGGAAAGCAACGCTCGGTCGCGGAGCTCTAGAAAGTTCTCGTTTATTCTTGTTCCGGACGTAACTTTCATCCTTTATTCCTGTTTTCTCGTTCTAGAAAGTGCCTCTTCATTCTCGCCCCGAGCGCGCGACGCTCGAGCCTTCTTTGCCGAATCTTCGAGATAGTGACGCACTCTAGATAAGAGGCCGCCTGCGACCTTGTCGAGTCAGTTTTCGCCTCAGCGTTCGATCTTGCTGCTTGGCCGCCTTCGACACCCGCGACGCTCTGCTGTGATCTTTCTTTTTTTCCTTTTATTTTTGGGCACAAGTTCGCCCCATTAAACGTTCAGTTTACTCAGTCATTCGCCGCCTCATCACTTGACATTCGTGCCAATATCAATAGCCGTTGTTGTCTATAAAGGATGTCCGCAACCAGACGGCGTATTGTTTAATTGTGATACTACCGACTGCAAAAAAAATAACGAAAAACGCCCATCTGACATAATTTGAGCGTATGTGATGCAACAATGGGGAACTAAAAAAAGGTGCCAGTATTCCACGGGAAGTGTTCCTCTTCGTGCCCTGAGTGCGGTGCGTGGGTTTTCTGTGGGACTTAGTAAGTTTGTTTATTTAGTGAAGCGAGCGACGCCCCTCGGAGTGATCACAAAAGAAGCCGAAGAGGATGTTCTTCATCAGTAGTTGAATTTTAAGCGTTCTCAATCACCTTTGCAGAGCCTTCCTAATTTTTGGATTCCGGAGTAATTTTGGATTATCTAATATAGCAACGCAAAACGTGCGGGTTAATTAATTTATTGAATCTTGGCGTTTACTTTCTCATTTGCGGGTTTTTGAATACTTGCTCTGTTTTAGAAAGTTATTTTTTTAGCACGGATGTAAAATTAGAGGCTCATTAAGCTGACTTCATAAAATGTACTGCCGTTTCAAAAACTATTTAAGACACTTTCGCCATTATTAGCTACTTCTTAAGGAAAAAACTAGGTTGTAAGGAAACAAACGCTGGAAATTTGTCGGCCAAGAAAGCAGTGGGCGAATAATGTATCAGGGGATTAATACGTTAACCAATTCATGTCAAAGCCCTAACTTGTATACCTGTTAAAAACGCAAAAATGTTGCAAAAACCGCTAGAATTTATGATTACAAAATGTATTTCGACCTAATATAACACAAATAGAAACCAAAAGCAGCGAGAGATCAGTACGCGAGAATTCCACCTATACAGGTGGCATTCTCAGTGTACGGCACTGACACAAATGAAGTGAGGAGCAATAGTCGCTATTTATGTCGGATGTCCTTGCAAAACACCTTGTCGGATACCGCGGATTGACGTTTACTTGATTTTTACGAAGACATTCGTGATAAATAGTGACCGAATGAACTCTCACGTCATTAGTGTCAACGCATATTGAGGAGGCCACTTGTATATGAAATAAAAAGTTCTTTTTTTCTTGTGTGTGTTTCACGTAAAGACGGCTTTTGTTTTCTCTTAACAAATAAACTTGAAAACCCATATATCCAAGATGTGCACCGCAGTGCACATCTTGCACTGCAAGCCTATTTCAAGCCATAAAATATAAAACGTCGATGCGAAACATTTTTTTAGGCATAAATGAGCGGATCACGATTGCGAGCTTTGGCGTAAAAGCATTACTAAACACCGTTGGCGCGATAAGCTCCGGACAAGGAATCTTCGGTCTCTATATTAAACGTATTTCCCGAAAGTACTTATAGCTTTACAAGCAAATCCAACTGACGGTACGTCTCATATGAGCGCATCTAGAGATAAATCGCAATGAAATACGAAATATGTTTGAAGTTGCGTGTTGACGGCCATTGTGATCATCGAGGAATAGACTCGCGCTATTGTTAGTCAATCATCACGCGAAGCCGCAGCTCCCTGAAGGTAGATTTTCGTATGGGTTCACGGCAATCATATAGCCCACATTATCTCGTCGTATTCTGATGTTTGTATTTCCATGAGCGCGATAATAAGTTCGTCCCAAACTAATGATCTTTCTAATCTATTCGCGAAACGATTTACCACGATTTTTCCTCAGAATTCGCGGGCATTCCGAGCGCTCTAAAGAATCAATTACGCCACTTTCGTGTTTTGCCTTTTTAAAAGAGTTTACGAAAGTTTCGAACGGATGAACAATGAGGAACACTATTTTCGCCGCATTTTTAATTACTAAAGAGTTTAGCATATTCGATGACGGGCTCCTAGAAGTTGTTGTTTTGTGTGTTTCTAGTTGGGGCGGATGTATCGTTAAGAAGCTCGAATTCTTAAACGCTTTTAGAATTTTGTTTCTCGTTTGTACGGGAGTAATTAATTACTCAACGTAAGATTAAAAAGGAGTTAGTAGGTTCGGGGCTGGAGCTCCTGATGTGTATACAACCGTAAGGATCAAAAAGGCCAAAACGAAAACTCACCCAATCTAAAAAAAAAAAGACAAGCACTTTTCAGGAACTTGCAAATTTGCTGGTAGAACAATCAGCTAGCACGCTTAATGGAAGAACCGTGCGGTAATGCTGCCGAAAACGCTCCGATTGAATGGAAGACTGATTCAGCCGATATCCCGCAATGCCGAGGATCCCCCATCAAGATAAGCGGCATCTCACCACAAAGACGGGCGTCATGGCGTTCTTGAGAACACAAACACCCTAAAAATCGTTGCGCGTCTACTTTCCCGCAGGACATGACAAAGCGAAAGAGCATGTCGACCTAAAATTGAAGTCTGCGATGTGACCCTGAAGGCTGGTTCACACATTGGCGTTTGAATCTGATTGCTGCCTTGCCTGTTACCGCACTGCAGCGCCATCTGTCGGCTAGCCGTGGACTACCATCCGATCTACTTCAATATTTTACAGTACTTGCGAGATAAAGTACACCCACCTTCTATGAGGAATTGTCTCTTGTAATGTTGTTAGAAGTATTTGAAGCACACGGTGAATGAATACGCCAAATATATGCAGAATGAAAGCATTCCATACTTATCTCTCGTGGTAAGCGATCATAAGCGGTTGCCCAACAGTCAATCTCCACGGTAATGCTAATCTTTGAACCTTCGGCATGACGTTTCAAGTGTTTGCTTGGAGCTAAGTTTAATGACGTGGACATCCTTTTTTTCGGTAAAAACGTGTATACAGTCTGGCCATTTGCCGACCACGCTCTGTTCATTGTAGCAATTGGCTCCTGGTCTGCTCTGTCAAATGTCACACACCCCTACTTCAAGAAACTATCTATTTTTCGCAACTTTGAAACACCTTTTAGAAAACAAAAAATGGTCCGCGTACACAACGTAAGGTCTTCAAAATACTTGCCGAGCTTATCCGGATGTGTCCTTCAAATCATTTGGCCTGGAACTCGTGGCCCTGTTTAGGATCTTGTGGCCGTTTCAGAAAGGCTCGTAGTCTGTTTTCGTAGTTTACGCTAAGAGAAAATTAAATGTACTGCAGAGCTCCTAATCGAGCTCCCCTTTCTCTCTCCCACCAATGCCTCATCCTAAGACAGAAGCATAGGGAGCGATTGAAGAAACGCAAATGAATGGAACGGCCTGGAGCAGTGTATGTGCGGGGAGATAAGAGCTCAGAAAGGAAAAGGAGTTGCCCGCCAAACATTACTGCGACAATCTTTCGAAAACCAGCAACGTTCTAAACGCAATACCGCATCCTTCCGAGACACCCGTAAAACCAATCATGAATCGATGCCGTCTTCTCCATTTTTCATTCAAACACTTGCCTCCATTTCGTCTCTCTTTTCTCTCTCTGTTTCCTTCTTTATCTCTCTCTATTTATCTATATATTCTCTCCCCCTCTGTCTCTTACGCATATTTGTATTTCTCTTGTTTTTATGATTTTCCTTATCGAGTCCTCTCCCAGTTTGCTTTTTTGTGTTTCTTCTGTCACTCTCTCTTCGCTGTTTTCATCCACAATATATATATAACCCAATATGCAGTTAGAATGTCGGGTCTAATCTCTCGCATAACTCATAACTTTGGCAATGTAACATGCGTACATCTGAAATGTAAAAACACCGAAAAAAGGAAAGGACTAAGACGAAGAGATACAACAAAAGGCCACTTGCGACTGTTGTTTATTCGGAAACTACATGCCCATTATAGGCCCCCGAAACCCTGTTGGTTATCAACGTGTCGGTGCAGGGCCTGTCTTAGGTCCCTTGTCTTTTTTTGGCGCTTTTATAATTCAAACTATGAACCAACTGGCACAACTATCCACTTTGATACATGCATCGTTTATTCTCAACCCTCATCAGATGTAGGCTAGAGTTTGGTTCCCAATGATTTATCTTTCTGATTTGCATAAAG